GTCACTGTGCGACGGGCAGTTCCTGAAGACTCGAAATGCATCAGAGGACTGATTCAAGTGAGTACTGTGTTTAAAAGGGGAATCTTGGACAAATGAAACCTGCAACATTTTTGAATATAATTTGCAGGAATTGGCTGATTATGAGAAAATGCCAAATGGTCCCAAAATCTCAGCAGAAGGTGATGTCTATAAATATTTCATTCCTTTACTCTTGGATAATCTGAATTTGTTTTTGTCATGTAAAGCATGTGTTACCTGATCCGAGAAAAGCTGATTCAAGTATTTTCCATTAGAAAAATTCCCTATTTTTCTTGTTAATTGGCATATTCCAGTCCTAGAAAAAGTTCTGGAGTTTAGTCTGAATCTGAATACAAACAGACAGAGTGAAGAAAATTAAGTTATACTTACTGTTATGTTATATTGATCAGTTAATCCATCAGGAGATTCTTAGAAAACTCATCCATGAGAGCATTTTTTCCTCTATCAAATAACTACTGTTTGGCAAAAATTGTCTGTGCAACATGAATTTGTTTTACAGTTTGGATACACTTTTGAGCCCTGCATTTTGCATGTTACTAGGGTGGTATAGTGAGACCCCCACATGCGGACGCCTCAACATGGGGACAATTTGACATGGGGACATTTATTTTTTTAACAAGAAAATCATAAAAAAGACCCAACATGAGGACACTGACTCAACCTGGGGACATTGCAGGAAAAAATTCCAAAATACATTTTAGGAAAATTGATTTTTATAAGGCTGAATTGCAAGAAACAGATGTTTCCAACCTAAGATCTATGCAAGAAAAATTCTCTGGTACTTTTCCCATCATTTTCCCATCCATTCAGCTAATTTAAAAAATGCCCTATAGCACAGAGGGACTTCCTCCTAGCTCTCTTTGTGACATGGATGTTATTTTTCCAGATGCAAACTTTTCAATTTACTGTGCAGATGTACACTATTCAATGTTCCAAATGTTCTTATTGGTTTGAAAAGATATTCATTGAATGAAATTCAAGTGGCAAACATTTTTTTTCATGAAATTCTGAAGAATATTTCTTCCATAAAACACCAATTAAAAATTATACAATGTAAGTCTATGGAAAAACAAGATTTGACTTGGGGACAATCTGACATAGGGACACTCTTGATGCACCAATTATGTCCGCATCTGGGGGTCTCACTGTATAAATATCCTGACTGTGTCATTTGAAGTTTAAAAAAATAATGCATCAGAGAGCATATAAAATTAATAGAAAATTATTAAAATCCGAAAAATTGAATTCAGCTGATGCGTACACATATATTGGATCAGAAAAAGGCTGGAAATTCGAGAGATTACTTTCATTTCAAAAAGCTTTAGATTTTAATTAAAAGCCAATTCCACTCGGAGCAGATTTGCAAAACCATTTGTTCCCTGGAGAAAAGAAGTGCAGATATTCCTGCCTGGTGGCTGAAAATTCAGCAGGAGACTTGATTGGGTTCACACTATATTATCCAGCTGTGAGTCATACATTATTCAATCGGTCAACTGAAAAAACGAATTAAATACAATTTTACAAATTTCAGTGGAGTTTCATGGGTCATTCCTATTATATTGAGGATCTCTACGTGCAACCATCCTCAAGAAGAACTGGAGTCGGACTGAAAATTTTCAAAGAAATAGCTAAGGTTCGATTCAGTCTAAGCATGTTTTCATGCTTCGTGCAAAAATTTTAATTTTTCGCAGGACGCAATTGAAAATAATGCGAAAAAGCTTTTCTTCTCTGTCCTCAACTGGAATGAGCCAGCTATCAATTTTTACAAGAAGCTGGGTGCTCTCGATTACACTGCGGATATGACCCTGGATATCTACAGGT